GACGTTATCGACATGAAACAACCATTGTTACATGCACTCAGGAGATGGATGATTTGTCGAATTTCAGAGAATTGTTGATTGGAATGTTTACGTGCAAGTAAATTGTGAAGACACCTGTAAATTGTGAAGACAACCGTTGAGAGTGAAAGAAATCAAAATGGGTCTTGAAATGATTCAACTTCACGGCAAGGTGAGAGAGAGAGTAAAATTTTGTTTCGAACTCATCCTTGGATTGGATACAGCAGCACGGCTTTTGCTCGAAACTGCTATCGCAAAAAGCTGTCGAAGAAGATCACCAGAAGAAATAATGCGCGAACACTTTCAGCTGGTCGATCAGCTGAACGCATCTCCATGGCAAATTCGTGAAACGAATATGCGTTTAGCTATTGGATTTATAGTGATGTTCTTCTATTTGTTAATTGGTGCTGCGGTCTTCGTTCGAATCGAAGGACCAGCTGAAGATCTGGACATGCAGACATATCAGGAGTTTAGAGCACACTGGAATAATGTTCTTATGGAAGCCGGATTCGAGGGTTTGATGTTTTAGCTTGAAGAAAAATATGGGGTAGATTGTAAGTATATGCCACGTTTTTGCTACCGTATTGCGATTGAGAGAACATAACCGTTTCAATGTTCATTTGAACAAGTTTATCAGCTAAACGTAGAGCTCAGTTTATGGAACTGAATAAATATGATTGATTGAAGCATTAATGTAGTGGCCGATATAAGAGACGTTCATTTTTAACAGGCCTGAATTAAGATTTTCATTTAACGAGTACACGCCGGATAAGCAATCTTATGACAGTTCGAGGATGATAAGGAATCGTTGTTTCAGAAAGGGATATAGATCAACTGTTTGCTGATATTCGAGTGATGGCTCTCAAAGGAATTTGGACTGAGAAAAATATTACGAATGAGCCGAATTGGGGATTCGGACAAGCATTCTTCTTCGCTGGTGCTCTCATAAGTACTGTTGGTAAGATTCTATTCGCATTCTTACAAAATGACTCTTTCTCACCTCTAAATACCAGATTTTGATCGCTAGTATGCGCTGGATATAAATGGCAAACCGTATATCTTTGAGAAAATAGCTATATCT